GAAGTGAGGCACTACAAGTGCACAAGAAATTTGTTGTGTTTTTAATGAAAAAGAAACAACTATTTCACAGAACAAATTTATTTTAATAAAATACCCCAAGAAATGCAGAATTATTAATGTGCATAGATTTTTCTTGGAAAGAAATACATCAATAATTACCTCAAAAATATGTTACAACATAATTATTAAATTGTGTATACAATTGTATATACAAAATAAAGTGTACAAAGAAAAATACATGAGGGCTTGGAGAAAAATATAATCTTTTTTTGGAAGAAATTATTCCTGAATGTGCTCAGTAAAAACATTATCAAATTACTATTTACTACACATTAGTCTCATACATTTTTAAAGCAATATTTACAATATTGCAAACACTACAAGATGGATAATTTGAGATTGTTAAAACATTTCATTTTTTTAAAGGTTCCTTTAATTTGATATGAAATTTCTGCAAATGAAAAATAGCAAATTTTGGGATAAAAATTAAATCATTCATGTGAAAAAACAGAAGCATAAATATCTTTAAAGCTTAAGGCACTTTTTAAAGCAAAAAGATTTTTAAAAAAATAGAAACGATTATACATATTTACTTATAAGCCTTTTTCTTTCGATTTAGATGGTTATACTTTACACTTCATCTCAAGAGTACATGTGTATTACAATGTCCAGAGCACAGCACAAACATAAAATATAGCCCCCGACTTATAAGTGACCTGTCCTGTAGGCAAGTAAATATGGTAAAAGCAGTTATTATCTAAACACCAATGTATCACATATTTAATATGGCAAGAGATGCATGTTCAAAAGCCTTCAGATGTTTATAATCTTAACCTGTTGAATTTTAATAATGGATTTTTAACTTTAAATTCTGGAACAATCCATTCAAAGTTTAAGAATTTAAATAACAAAATACAAAAATTGAACTGTAATAATAAGCAGTAAAAAATCTACCAGTAATGTCTGACTACAATGAAGCACAAGCTTGCCTGGGTCTATACTTGTGAAGTCTAAAAGGCTATCAACATTGTTTGATTAAACTGAATTCAAAAATACACACACACAAACATGAACAGTTTAATTTTCAAACCTAAAAATATTTAAAAAATTGGATTTTTTTCCCTGTTGTTAACATAAATCACCTGATTACAAAGTCATGGCTCTTAGCCATACTGATTGTCTTGAAAAAATCTTTATTATTAATTTTTTCTTATCATCACAGTCAAAGATGAGCTTAAATAATCTCACATATTATGCATGTATCTAAGAAGACATAAGTATTCAGATTACATTATTCTTTGATGTTACATTTTAAAGCGACATGCCTCCAGATGAGCCAAAAATGATTAAAGAAATTAAACTTGAGAAAAATGTACTAAGATTTTAAGAAAAGTAAAAATATTCACAATTTAAGTTATGATTTACATGTTACAAGTATATGCAATGAATGACTGACTTTCCAGTATTAATCACCTTATTTCTCCTGCATGACTAACTCAAGTAAGGGCTTTTTAAAACATATCTTGACCTTTATTTAGTAATTTACTTGGACTGAACATACTTTTAACAATGTGTTAATTACTAGTCCATGAAAATTAGCATGAGTCTGGAGGCATGCTGCTTTAACATAAAAATATATGCTATTATGAATTCGAAAACTTAGCAAATAAAATGATAATGAAATTAACAACAAAATAAAATGCTTGTGGGACATGCATTTATTATACATACTTCTAAGTACATTTTTAAAGTAAAAATTTGAGCTGATTTTCGATGTTTGTATATAGCAATATGAATAATTTACCAACAACATTTAACATGTAGGATAATATAAACAGTCAAAGAAAACTCCACTGAGGTTTTCTGGCATGACAGACTGAAAGCATTTTTTTACGAGATTTAAATACCATTTAAAAACTTTATTTTTTCCTGAATGACCAATGTGAAAAAGAATTTAATGGCACATTATGCTTAAGAAAACTTTTTTTTAAATTCTTTGGAAATATGTCAAACATGTGTTTAATAATGTTTAAATAATGGATTAAGAGCATGTTAGATGCTTTACAACTGTAAAATGTAGTGCTGAACATGCAGTAATGTGTTGTAAAGGTAGCAAAATGTAAACAAAGCTTACCAACTCTATTACAAGTAGAGAAACTGATAGCGAACAGCATGGATCCTGATCAGACTGCACGGATGCGCAGGCTGGTCTGGATCCATGCTGGTCGCAAACGCACTATGTTGGTTTTGTTGTGACGCTGCTCAAATGACATTGCATTCCATCAGTACTTTATGTACTTTGATTATTGACATAAACATGGAATAAATAAATTTTTATCACATCAATAAAATAATGCATAGCAATTAGAACAATTTACCTGGAACAAAAATTAAATTACAAATTGTACACATTCACTTTTGAAATGTAACTTTAATGGATTTAAATATGCATAAATATGGCAGCCAACAATAAAAAGTTTTGCGAGACTGCACACAAATACAGACTAGTTTCCTTTATACCATTTGGTTATCACATCAGAAATTTAATTATGTCCAAAAATAATATGGCATCAATATTCCTAGTAATAAAATATCCTTTTTAATTGGAGGGGGGGGGATTACGTCGCACCAACACAGTTTAGGTCATATGGCCACTTTCTAGGTGACTAATATGTATAATATCTATCACACTAAAAATATGGCAAAATTTCTGTTTAGTAAGGGCCAGTTTCTGTTTCCTGGAAGAATACGAGTAACATACAAGTAAAAATTATGGAAAAGGTCCCCTTTCAGCAATGGAGCAGAACATTTTTATAGTGCAAATTGAAAATGGATATTGATGAATATATATATTTTTTATTCATACACATTAACAGATTTGTTAATGGATAAAAAAAACAAGAGCTGTCAGAAGGACAGCGCGCTCGACTTTTTTAGTGCTTGCCTATAAAACAAAACTTTGACAGTTAAGGGCACACAAGACTTTAACTAGGAATTTCTAAGTACAAATCAAGAAACATTTTCACAGAGTTATCTTCTCTTGCTTACAGATAGGTCTCATGATGGCACATAAGAACTCCAACTTCCAAAGTAATATCTCAAATGGTTAAGTCAACAAGTGGACAAGAATGAAAATTTTAACTGAGTTTCTAAGTCAAAAAGGGCCATAATTCAAATAAAATCCTTAACAGAATTACCTTCTCCTGCCCATGTTTTGGGACCATGATGGTAAACAAGTATTCCAACTTTCAATTTAATATCTCAACCAGTTCAGTCAAAAAGTTGACTGGTACAAAAAAGTTAACCAAGATTCTAAGTCGATAAAAGGCCTTAATTTTTAAAACAAATCCCTGACAGAGTTACCTTCTCTTGCGTACAGATGGGGGTAATGATGTGAAATAGCATTAAAAGTTTCAAAGCAATATCTCAAAGGGTTAAGGCAATAAGTGGATTTTACCCATATTCAATGTATTTTCTAAGTCAAAAAGGGGCATAATTCTGTCAAAAACCTTGACAGAGTTATGTCCTCTTGTTTGTTGATGAAGGTCGTGATGGTAAACAAGTATGGTCAGTTTCAAAGCAATACCTCCAATGGTTTTGAAATAAAGTGAGGTGGTACAAAAAACTTAACCAAGCTCAATACACTTTCTAAGTCAAAAAAGGGCCATAATTCTGTCAAAAACCTTGACAGAGTTATGTACTCCTGTCTGTAGATGGAGGTTATGATGGTGAACAAGTATGGTAAGTTTCAAAGCCATACTTGTAATACTTCTGAAATAAAGTGGGGTGGTACGAAAAACTTAACCAAGGTGTGACGCCAACGCCGACGCCGACGCCAACGCCGACGCCGACGCCGACGCCGGGGCGAGTAGGATAGCTCCCCTTTTCATAGAAAAGTCGAGCTAACAACAGTTATTAGACATTTTACATTGAAATTTAGTTTCTACAAATTAAAGAGAAATAAAATATGCAGTTGGCACCTTAAATACCCTTTACATACACTTTAAGTACACTTTACCAAATGTTCTGACCAGCTTCAAAATATAAAACTTTGTAAAGCTTTTGATTACATAAGAAAAAAAAAAAGTAATGATAAATTAGGAGAATAATAAATAGCCTGTTTATTTTTTTTAGTATTTGGAATGTCATCGACAAGAATAACAAGAGCTGTCCGTAAGACAGCGCGCTCGACTTTTTTATTGCTTGCCAATAAAAAAAGTTTTTGCAGTAAAAGGCAATACAAGAATCTCTGTATTTTTAAAGTGAACAATGGCCATAATTCAAATAAAATCTTTGACAGAATTACCTTCTCCTGGACATGTTTGGGAATCATGATTGTAAACAAGTATTCCAACTTTCAAATTAATATCTCAAACAGTTCAGTCAAAAAGTGGACTGGTACTAAAAACTTAACCAAGATTCTAAGTCGATAAAAGGCCTTAATTTTTAAAACAAATCCTTGACAGAGTTACCTTCTCTTGCGTACAGATGGGGGTAATGATGTGAAATAGCATTAAAAGTTTCAAAGCAATATCTCAAAGGGTTAAGGCAATAAGTGGATTTTACCCATATTCAATGTATTTTCTAAGTCAAAAAGGGGCATAATTCTGTCAAAAACCTTGACAGAGTTATGTCCTCTTGTCTGTTGATGAAGGTCGTGATGGTAAACAAGTATGGTCAGTTTCAAAGCAATACCTCCAATGGTTTTGAAATAAAGTGAGGTGGTAAAAAAAACTTAACCAAGCTCAATACACTTTCTAAGTCAAAAAAGGGCCATAATTCTGTCAAAAACCTTGACAGAGTTATGTACTCTTGTCTGTAGATGGAGGTTATGATGGTGAACAAGTATGGTAAGTTTCAAAGCCATACTTGTAATACTTCTGAAATAAAGTGGGGTGGTACGAAAAACTTAACCAAGGTGTGACGCCAACGCCGACGCCGACGCCGACGCCGGGGCGAGTAGGATAGCTCCCCTTTTCATAGAAAAGTCGAGCTAAAAATTAAAGTTGCATCATTAATTATGTCAAGATGTATTGTACATATTCCTGTGTTGTGTAATTGCATGTGTGTACAAGAGCAACTTCTATGTATGTTGTGTAATTGTATATTTGTGTATGTGTGTATATTAGCACTTGCTATGTTGCGTGTAATTGCATGTGTGTATAAGAGTACCTGCTACGAAGGTTGAGTAATTGTAAACAATTTTGGGGCCGACATTTTTTATTCTTTATTTTATTCTTTTTTCTTTTATTTGAGACCTGAGCCAGCCCAATTATTGTTTGATATTGTTGTGTGGAATGGTTAATTTTTGCCAGCAGACAACTCATAGTGACAATTAACCCAGTATAATTTGTTTTGTAATTTAACCTGTGTATGTATATCTGCACCCATATAATTATGTGTTGAACATAGTTCATGTTTACTGCTCTGTCTTGATGTGTGTGAAACGTAAGTGCATATGTGTATATGAGCACCTGAATTGTATCTGTTTGCATATTGTTTATATATGCGTGCATATGGAAATAAGCCTGAGTAAAAAATAGATAAACGGTCTGTTTGCATATTGTTTATATATGCATGCATACGAAAATAAGCCTGAGTAAGAAATAGATAAACGAAGGTCTTTACAAAACATTTAGACTTGGTGAATAGGTGGGTAGTAGAATTTGTATTTCTTTGAGCAGCTCGACTGTGGTGGACCATGGTAATGATGATGACTGCGTCGACCAATCAAATCATTCTTCACTCCCTTCCCAATTGAGGCCATGGTAGAGTTGTCTCCCTTGGAATGGTAGTATCCGAGAGGATAGACGGTGTTGTCCGAACACGATCGTGGGGAGAAGTCTTTATTCAGGCAAATCTGAATCTGATCAATCAGATGGTATTTTTCCCCATTTTGCTGAAATCATATAGAAATAAAATATTTACTTAATTTTCACACTTAACTTTTATGCTATACTAGGCTAGCTTTTTCGCTCTGAATTTGAAAAACCTATTGTTAGTTACAGGGTTTATAATAGGAAAAAAAGGGGAAAAAAGACCTAATTCACACTGATACCACTTACTGTTTTGTCTACATACTGCAGGTGTTTTGTCTACATACTGCAGGACTGTGTGATGATTTGACAAAAGTTAATCTATATGTCACCATCTAAAAGGTAAATATGGGACTTTGAGTACTATTTTTATTATTTTTATTTATACTGCCGAACATTTTGATAAAAAAAAAAGAACCATTTGCCCCCCCCCCCCCATTATTCTAAGTAGTGTTTTAATCATTTAGCAAAAATTTCATGCACCATTCGCTTTTTAAGTTAATACATGTGTTTAAGATACAAAAAAAATACATTTGTTTCTTTCTTTTTTTCAGAATTCAAACAAAAATTTTGTAAACTGCAACCAGCAGTAATACTGTAAGGAAACTGTAAATATTTCATCATCATGATCACACCAAACAGGAAAATATATCAATTTCATTTTTCTATTCATAAAAAAAATTATACAAGTAACAAAGGAAGGGAAAAACCCCATTACATTGTACTAAAGAAAGCCTTCCTAATATACCTCCTCAACTTGACAGAAATTTTCATAAGTATCATATAAACCATTTAATATCACACCAAAAAATAACACTTTATCTTTCAAATTTATCGCAAATACCATTTTAAATATCACACCAAAACAAACGCAATACTTTGTCACATTTCAAATATCACCTTTTACTAACAGGATCTCACTTTTACACCTAGGGAATAGTGGGTGTAAAAATTGATCATAAGAAACACAAAAGCTTAACATTACCTAAAAACATGTTTTCAAATGTAATGGTATACAGTATCAATAGTCTAGTTGATTTAAACACGTCAGCAAGACACTGTTTACCCAGAACATTTACCAGTGCTTTGACCTTATTGCACCAAACTGTTGGGGATTATTTTAGCCTAACAGATGTAACACCCTAGCACAACTAGTTATTTAATTTACTCATTGTTTTGGTCAGTTGTACTATGTTACTTCATTTCTGGTATTCTGAGTAATTTAACTGGCCATCGGTGATTGAAAAGTTTAAACCTGTGTGTGGCCCATCGTTGATATCGGTTATAGACAGGTTGTCAATCGGTAATTTGTAAAACTATTTTCACCGCTCCAAAATTTAAACCTGTTTATAAATCCCAATCAGTAATTTTTTACAGACTAAACTTATCTTTTATAAGTTGATAGGTGAAAAACAGGTGACCAATAGATAATTTAGGTGTTAAATATTTTGTCATCAGTCCACTTCATAGTTTGGCTAAAAAAAACTATCCACCAATCACTGATGGCTCTGAGGAACTGGAGTGTAACTATATATCTTTAACTATGGTGGCTCATTTGGAACGCCTTTGTCGCCCATTCTCAATAAAATAAAGCATTTGAGGTTGAAAAATATTAAAAATTTGATGTTGTCATTGTGTCATTTTTTATCGATGAAGTAAAAGTTTAGGGTATTTTGCAAGTTTGCCAGAAATATTTTGAACAAGAAACTATGATATAACAGGATGACATTTATTTCGGTAAGGACACTGTATTTCTTCGGTAACGTAGATTTCAGATCTAATAATGTAACATATTGGCTGCATATTAACAACAAATGTCTTTAAAATATATCAAAATCTGTAAATTTTCTATCTAGAGGGACTTTCTAACATAGGAAAATTCAATGAAGTTGGGTACCTTGCTAATTTTCAGTTAATTTCTTCAAAGTTAAATATTCGTAGAAAGCAAAAATAGTCAATTTTGGAAATGATTATTTTATGTCTTCATTCAAAGGATATATATCATATATAATTTATGAGAGGTCGAATGCATACACAAATGTTGTATTAGCATTTTTTTTCAAAACATTCAACTTTTCACTTTCTTAATATTTGGAAAATTTATTGCTAAGCAGTTATATATTTATCCCCATATAGGATGTCACGTATGTTTCATTTTATTCAAATGCAAGTAAAGGTTGAGAAAACAATTTTATTTTTTGTAAAATAATGTATATTTATGGATATTATTTTAACATTATTATATATAGAATGAAATACGGTCAGTAAGCTCTTTGCAGAAACGAATTAGTTGTTGCTGAGAACATCAATATCTGATAAAATATTTTTAACATTTCTGCTGGTACATCAACATACATATGTATTATTAACATATCTTTCCCTTGTAAAAATAATTTTGTATCTTCTTACATCTAATACAAGGTAACCGTTACTAACAGGCATGATAATCCCAACTTTATCTTTAATTTTCAAAAATTGTTGAATTGTAAGTTGGAGTAACGTATGTTTCACACTCGCTTATTTATGAACTTAATCACGGAATTGAAACTTACATGTAAAATCGACTTTTTTTATTTAGGAATCAAATGTACATCATTCTATTGTCATAAAAATGCGATTTTATGTTTTTATATATGCATGTGTAAACAATATAAAGTCTGTTTGATAAAAGTAACGTTTGTTTCACTGTGGTTACTTAAACAAGTTAAAACTCGACCAAAGTTATCAAAATTAACTTACTTATGTCAAATAGAAGTTAATGTTGCTGTTATACGTGCTTTCTGACTTCAATTTCCCTTTTGATAAACTAACTTTAAAAAGTTGATAACGTATGTTTCTGTAACGTATGTTTCATTTTTACATTGAAAGTGGGTTAAAAATGACGCAAGACCGTTTAACCCGCCATAATTTGTGGTTAATATATCAGAGTTACACACATGTTAATTTTCTTACTTGTTTGGATTCTTCTTTGAATGGATTGGCTCTTAAATAATGGTAACGTATGTTTCTTTTTAAAATGCTGTTGAAAAGATTTGAATAAAAAATGAAAATTTCCGAAAATATAATGATTTTTGAGAGGCTGCAAGCTTATTTTTACTTATAATTATATATATGCTGTATTATTAAGCATGCATCGATTCAATTATGTAATTTCGGTTCCACTTATTATTGTTTTAGGTTTGGCAATATTTATTTATATGCATTTGGCGACATTTGATCATTCATTATATCAATGAGATTTTAAGAGTCAAATGTAATTTTTACCAATAATCAAAGTTCATATACACACAGCAATGACTAATTGCACATGTTTCGTTTATTCTGGAACTTAGTTTTCTGAGACACAATTTCAAAGTTGAAAATTCTAGGTGGCGACAGTAACGTATGTTACATTTTAGGGCATTAATGGTACTTGTAAAAGAAAAATAACAGATAGAAAGGTAAAACTGAGAGTGTCCCTATTAGACAAAGTGGCAGCCACCTTTCTAACGACATTTTGACCTCAAGAAAAACCTTCGTATAAGAGCTACCCAGTGGAACATCAAATGCTGTGTCTTATTGAGAATGAGCGTTGTGCGTTGTGTTGGCGCCAGCTTAACAGGACAAAGCGCCAAACGGCGTGTTGTCGGACTTTCGTCTTGTCGTCATGTTGCTAACAATGTACGCCCAACGGTGCATTGTGGTGCAGCCTGTTGTAGCCATGTCAAATTGTCGCTCAGTTCAAATAAAAGAATTGGCTTATCAGCCAAGCGACAGCGGGACAATACGCCGTTTGGCGTGCTTTACTAGAGACAGGATGACAAGATGACAGCGCGGCAACGCGCCATTTGCCACTTTGTCACAAGTGACAAGACAAAAAAGCGATAATGATAAGATGCTTTGTCGCTATTGACAAACGCCAATGTACCAAATCAGCCACCATATCAAACCCTCACCATAATAAATATCTTAAATGCACTTGTCCATCATCAAATAAGGAAAAAATTTCAAATTATGTACTAACTGGATTGCAAACAGAAAATATGTATACAATACAACCTTTGCAGAGCAAAACCCTTTGGGAGACAAATATGTTAGTTGTTGCCGAGAGGAATTGCTCTATACAGGTTAATTTATTATGAAATTTATTGTAAAGTCTTCCTTTAGGAAGTAAATCCTACTGACGATATATACAATGGTATTTGCTCTTCAGACGGCTGCTATGTACAGGTTGATCTGAAGAATATAGTTCAGGACTATTCGTGAAACGGAAGGGAAAGAAGCTGAATATATGTATGAAATTCAATAAATATAAATTACCTCTGTGATTGTACACTGTAGCACAGGTGGAAATCCAGTCGCCTTCTGCACAGCATTCAGAAAGTCATCAAACTGTAATGGAAAGGAAAATATATTAAGACATTTACAGTTTTTTTTTTTTTTTTTTGTTCTTAAAACCTTCCTTTGTTGGAACCAAAATCGTTAAGGCTTTGCCAATTTTATAAAACCAGCCAATTGTATAAAACCAGGTAAGCCTATTCATTTCTACAGTCTGCCCTGGCTCGACATTGTTGGCCGTCTGATTTTTTTATTTTCAACATATTTATATCCCAAAAACTGAAAATGGACAGTCCCAAAAATGGAATCTCAAGGCAAGTCTATTTACAAATGATGCAGGTTTAAGGTTAATATATTTATAGAATCTATACTTATGTCATAATAAAATTTACTTAAATTGAAACCACAATTATTGCTATTGCATTGCATGAGATCAAGATAATCTTTAACTAGAAAATCTGCATTGAAAGACAACTGTAACTTTACTAGTCGTACTGCAAAAATATCAGGGGTATCAACATTTAAACTTCAAATAAAAGATTCTGATAAAGTTCTGCCGGCTTAGCTCAAAGTGAGAGAAATGGATTTGTAATCCAGGGGTCACCCAGATTTGATAATCAAGCAAGCTGAAATATTTCTGTGACAATAAATCTAGGTCATTGAACCTAAGGGTCACTTGTCTCCCACTACTGATTTAAAAGTCCTGTGAAATTAGTAGTCATTCACTTGCCAAGAAATTGGTGATTTAACTGGTTATAGTTATCAAGAAAAGCCAGCTTGGTTGACCCAACTCTGAGAAATGACAAAAAATGTGTTAAAATCAGCGTTATAAACAAAACAAAAAAACAATAATGTTTTTTGACACAGGAAATATTGGTGCCGAACAACGATTCATTTCAAACTTCAGACACTAAAGTAAAATATTAAGAACTTGTACTTACACTATACATGGTTGTCTTACTAGGTACCACATTGCTATCACTCAATATTCTGTAATAAAACAATAGGATACACTTCATTATAATGTTGTCATATTATCGAAATGTATGGCACACATGATTATAATTTAAATACAAAATAAGAGCTTTTAAAAGTACAGCGTGCTCGACCATTCTTAGTGCTTGATAGTAAAACAAGAGCCTGGATAATGTACAACTTTTCTAAGTTTAAAATGAGCCAAATTGCTTTTAAAATCCATGTTAGAGTTATAGGCCTTAGACAGTGACCTCCTATTGTGCTCTCAAATAAGTGAGTGAAGTTTCAACCAATTCTCTCCAATACTTTTTGAGATGACAAATTGCTGCAAAAAAAATCACCAAAGTGTCTATGTCGACGTGATTATATTTTTATAGCTCTCCCTATTCTTCGAATAATCAAACTAAAAATTAACTTAATACACAAAAGAAGACACACTTGATTAAACAAAGAATAACTTTGATATATTATTCATAATAATAATAATAATAGTAAAACAAACTTGATTATATACTGAATCAACTTGATTTATTACTTAACAAACTATTTTTAAATTTACAAGGTTAAAAACATTTCATCAAATGATAGGTATAATAAAAATTTCATGTTTTACAGAAGAACATCAAGACCAAATAGTATAGGTTTAATTAAATGAACATCTATACTACATGTATTAGATGTACTTAAATTACATGAACAGAGACAAAAGAAGAGATCAAAAAGGCTCATATACCAGCTGAAATAGAGCATTCAACCATTTTGTACATAGTTTTTTCATAGAAGAACAAAAATGCTATATTTTAACAAAGCTTTTAGACACTTAATGCTCATGTTCACTAAGCCATAAGAAAAAGATGAAGTTGTGAATAACAGAGGCATAGCTTGTAAGTTTATGTGGAAACTTCTATGGGGATTTGTGAGGTTTGACCGCCACTCCCCTCCCCCAACCCCAAAAAAAAATTTTTTCTCCATATTGTAATTCGCACCTCGCTTTTTGACTCTATTTACACTGAACATGTTTAGGGGATTATTTAAAATTATTTAAAGACAAATAAATCATTTCTTTCTTTCTTTTTTTTTTACTTTGGAGAAAGTGTAGGCCAGAGGGAAAGTCCAAATATTTAGACATTTGCTGCGGATTTGAACCTATTTTTTACATTGGTCAAATTCCACATTTTCCGATAAACAAAACTGTAAAACAAAGAAAATGCGATGTCTTTCAATGAAGGACTAGGCCAGGGCCTTTAAAGCCTAAAGAAAGCTATGCTTCTATAAATAAAGTAAGAAGAAGAGGACACTTTAAGATTAATGTATAAGTGGTGAAGTAAGCAATGCGGAAATAATTTGGCAAATTTCGTAAATTGAGGAAAATCACTAAAATTTCCTATAGCTCATATATCAAACAACCTGTCATTAACTTCTACCCTTGCATGATTCGCTAATATTTCTTCACACGAAATTTCTGGAATTTTAAATTTGCTAACTTTACGACACGCGAAAATATCCATTTATACAGTAAAATACATGACACAAATACATGTAAATTCTGTTTCATTCTGTGAGTTTGACACAATTTCATATACATGTATTCAAATGATCGTGGACCCTTATCATGATGAACCTTTTTTACTCCTTATCTGGACCAGTTCATTATCAATTCAAGGAGTGCAAAGATGATACTTAAAGTACTAGTAAGCTACCGGAAGTAAAGAACGTGGTCAGACTGCATGGTCGGCAGACTAGTCTGGCTCTATACCGGTGACAAAGGCTATGCATTGGTTGGGCATCATAATAAGAGTAGCGTACACGCTTTTCATTCATTATTCGTTAAAGTAACGACATTTGTAACGACATTTAGCCAAGAGCAGAGAATATTTAGTTTACAATAATGTGCAGCAAGAAAATGAGGACTCCAAGAGATGGAGACATAAAACATACATGATAACAAGAGAACCGCATGCAGTGTTAAAGCTCGTCTGTTAAAATAACCACTTTTGACAAAAAATTCCAAGTTAAACAGGGATATAACTCCAAAAATATTGCTTTCAAAATTATGCCCCTTGTCTTATAACTGCGCCTTGTCAAGATAAGCAAGTATTCAAAGTTTCATGTTGATAACTTTCTAAGTATTGTATAATAATGTGTTAAATTAAAGTTTCTGCAAGACAACAACGATGATGACATTGACACAGCCAGGGATCATAATGGTTTGCCATTATCTCCAAAACAGACAAGATAATAAGCTATTTTGCCTTCAAAGCATTATCAAAGAATTGGCACACATTATAATCAACCCATGAATTTGGGATTATCCATTCTTTGATATCAAAATCAACCCTAAATCTGGTGCTGAATTCTTGACTTTGCCCCACCTACAAATTCAAAACGGTCCATTCAAAGTTAAAGTTCAATATCAAAATACAAAAATATCGCTGCTCACAGTATGGAGAGCCTGGTCAGACTCCACGGAGAAACCGGCGGATCAGGCTCAATACTGGTGGCAAACATTATTCACATTCCGTTAAAGCAGATTAAGTGTTCAGCAGTAGATCACACTTAAAGCAGTCAATCACATAGAGCCTGGAGAAGTCTGACAAATCATTAATCTCAATGTCCAGAGAGTTTTAAGCATTATATAAAAAGCATTTTACATTTTTTGCGCATTTAACTATATTTCAAACTTACGCCCCCATGTCATATTTTCGAATCAGATCTAGCGACTTTTTGAAATATTTGTACTCATTAGATATGTCGGGTAAATTTGTGCCACATGTTCCGTGCTTTATCCATTCATACGCCCTACAGCATATCCAAACAAGTTTAAAATTCTAATTACAAATACAAAAAAACTTAAGAATTTCTTTGCTACTGGCCAAGTTCGATTCCATTTCCTTGACAATTTTTGTTATTCATGAGAATTGCTGAAAAAAACAAAGTTTAATTGAAGGAGAAAGGGGCAATGCTATGATTGTCATTTCAAAATAACTTCATTATCAGAGAATATTTTTATATCACACATTATAAAATGTAACAAATTATCTTCGCCAATAGAAATCATTATTGGATTCAATCTTTTCAATTTAAACTCAGGTTTTCCTTTCCAGAGTCCAGAAAATCTGTATCAAATGCATATTGTACTCCAGCTAGTCTTGTTTTCAATTTCCGAGTAAATATCAATATCAAATGCATATTGTACTCTCAACAAGCTTTGTTTTCATTCTTCGAGTCCAAAAGTTCCAAATCAAATCCATATTGTGAAGGTAGTAACTCTATCTTTAAGTACATATATAAATGATAGTACAAAATACTGTTGATTCTGATTTTAAAATGAAAATGAAAATTAATAAAAAGAACCAAATTGTTACAAAAAACATACAATTTACTTTTAAATAAACTCTGATAACATGTTTAGGAATGTCAAATAAAACTATTGCCCCTTTCTACTTTCCATTATTAAAATCAAGAACAGGAAATTCTGATATTGTGGAACATCTAAATAAAAGAAAGCATACAATATGGGAAGTTTCCAAACATACACGTATATACTCATGAACACTCAACCAGGACGAAAAATGTGCATTTCTATTACACTACATGTACAACACTGTATAATTGCAAAAAATCTGGAGAAAGAGTGATTCCTTGGAAGCATTTATCACAACAAAATTACAAGTAAATTGCAGACTCAGTTTGATTGAGTCTGTACATGAGGGATAATAAATGAAACAAAATGCACACTGAGGCTGTAACAAAATGCACACTTTTCTTGTATATTTCTGCACTACAAATAGGTTAATTGGCTATATCACTACTCTCAACTTACTGTTGAATATTATACTTTTGGTTAAGTGTAAGACCACTGGCGAAGTAATTATGTTCGCCTGACGTAGCAGCCAGGTCCGTGCAGCAGGTTCCATGCTTGGTCCACTCATGCTCCCTTAATTAAATACATGTAAGATTTATACACCAGTCAACCATAACCCAAACCTACCACCCCTGAACAGGGCAGGGAGTTAGTCTGGGTCCAACCATTCCTTAACAGGGCAGGGTTATAGTGTGGGTCCAAATCATCCCTAAACAGGGCAAGGAGTTAGCATGGTACCAACCACCTTGGAACAGTTGGAACAGGGCAGAGTGTTAGCGTGGTACAGAGTTTAAGTCTGTGACCACCCATCCCTGGACAGGGCAGAGAGTTAGCAAGGGTCCAATCACCTCTGAACAGGGCAACGAGTAAGTGTGGGTCTAGTCACACCTGAACAGGGCAGGGAGTAAGTGTGGGTCAAATACCCCGGGACAGGACAGGGAGTAAGCATGGGTCAAACAACCCCTGGATAGGACAGGGAGTTAGTCTGGGTCCAACCACCCCTGGAAAGGGCAGTGGGATAGAGTGGGTTCTATCACCCCTGGACAGGGCATTGAGTTTGTGTGTGCAACCACCTCTGGACAGGGCAGGGAGTTAGCATTTGTCCAAACACTCCTGGACCAGGCAGAGAAAAAAGTGTGGGTCCAACCACCCCTTAACAGAATACAAAATTAGCATGGGTCCAACGTTTGACACTTTGACAGTGCAGGTATTTACTTTTGGACCAACCACCCCTGGACAGGGCAGGGAGTTAGCATGGGTCTAACCACCCCTAGACAAGGCAAGGTATAAGAGAGGGTCCAACCACCCCTGGACAGAGTAGGAGTTAGTGTGGCACCAACCAACCCTGAAAAGGGCAGGGCGTTATTTTGGAGCCGACCAACCACCCTTGGACAGGACAGGGAGCTAGTATGGGACCGTTAAACCACTCCTGGACAGAGCAGGGAGTAAGTGTTGGGCCAACCACCCTTGGACAGGGCAGGGAGTTAGTGTGGGAACAACCAACCCTGGAGAGGGCAGGGAGATAGTGTGGGGATGACCAACCATCCTTATGCAGGGGGTTAATATGTGACCGACAAACAAATTCGGGACAGAGCAAGGAGTAAGTGTTGGACCATCCACCTTTGGACAGGGCAGGGATATTGTATGGGACCGGCCAAACACTACTTGACAGGGCAAGCAGTTAGTGTGGGTCCAACCACCTACACCAAGAAACTTTACATTCATTGCTTAGTACTGGTTGGTTCAAGAGACTCAACTATTCTTAAAGGAAGAGGGTTTGGGTTACAACTGACTGGTGCAAAAGTTATATTCATCATGACCTTTCAGGGTTATAAATAGATTCATTGATCTTTCACTTACTGACCTACTAACCTCAGTGTTCATTTGTCATTTCAGCCAAAAAAGCATTATTGCACTACAGATGAAAATAAAATGTATCTAACTTTTGATATTTTATAACAAATTGAATTTTGCTTTGAAAATTATAGAAAAGTGTCAAGGTCACAAACTTTTTGGAAAGGTCATACTGAATCTGAAGGTCATAAGCCTTAAGGAACAAAATTTCGTCATCAAAAAGGTCATGGTTAACCAATTTATAATCATCATCGTCACTTAAATGTTTATAAATGGTAATTTTAAATTTTAAAACATTTAATGTTTCAAAATGCTGATGACAAACATATCCTTTTACACAATATTATGTGTTGGGGATGGGGAAATAATTAACATTTCTCCTTGACATAATTATTATACATATATCCTGTGGTCCCTGTTGTTCTGGCATATCCATCGGCACCATGATTATCAGTAACAATTACAAATTTGATACTTGTGTCATCGTCAGATACCCACGGTTGATTAACAAGTAACATAACATGTAATCAATAATTATGAATCTGCCATGGGAATCCAACAATGTACATGTACCCATGTGTAATTCAATTAAAAGTAAAGATGCCACAATTAATACTAGCAAAATACATTAATGAAAGTAAATTTTTTCTACATATTACAATATACATGTATGTATACTATAAATTAGGTACCGCAGTACCAAGGGGACCTATTTGCATGACTGTTCTGACATATGTAAGGCTCCTGAGGAAAAAAATATATACATGTAAAAAGCAAATCTAATATGTCCAAGACAAATTGTCATTTTTATCTCCCACTTTTTTTTTCTTTCTTTTTTTATCACATAAATATATCATAGTCTGAGGATATATCATTACAATGTATACTATGTGACACAGGAAGCATGACTCAGCCAATCTTAGTTGACCTTTGACCTTTATGTACTAGGCTTGTCATGTGACACTTATTTTTTATTTTTTTTATCAACTAAGTTAGTGATCTTAGAGGTACAGCCCTTTTCATAACATTGTGAATTGCAATATACCTCTGTCAGAAATTCAAATATGATCATTGTTTAACAATCAATCTGTAAAGTTTACATGATACCAGATCTATTTTTTATATATATCCGACCAATCAAACATCAACAACCTTTTGATGTAAGACTGACATCTGACTTGTCTACAAGTGTTATCATAAAGATGTTATTACTTTAACAAGAGTTTATATCTGAAATAGAATAAAAAGTTTATTGTCATGGGTAACACCCTTTCCAAAATAGTTCTCAACAGCATTGTTTTTTTTTTGTGTTTTTTTTTTTTTTTTTTCAGAGTAACTGTGAAGATGGAAAACTGGCATTCCACCTTACAATATAAACAAAAAGCAATGATAAAAATTATGTTTTACATCTGAAGGTACCGAACCGAATAATTATCTATATCAATAAGATATAATTCATATTATACAATGTATAATTCATATTTGATATTTCACTGCTGGTAAAACCTTAAGCCATAAACAGGTGAAATAAAGATCTCAAATTACAGTCGAATCTGTGAACAAATCTAAGCAAAGGAATATAGGCAAGTGGTCATTATTTAATTGGAGGCTACTATGTTCATTTTAATCAAAAAAGGTTTTTCAAAGACTTGCCTTTATAAACAAGGATTTACATGACGGTCTTTATATGGAGGTGGTCTTAAACAAAGGTTTTCAGTGTCTATTCTAGGATTTAAAAAACAGGGGGGATTTTTATTTACAAGTGAGAATTTATTACATCTGGGTTTTTCTTCCCTTCTTTCTCTCTGTAAAATTTTCTCTGTCTGAAAAAATAGTGAGGAATTCTCAAAAATATGAGTGAATCCCCCCATCCCCCCTCCTAGAATAGACACTGAGGTTTTACTCAAAATTAACAATAAAGACTACCCGTTCTTAACAGTTAAATGATAGTGATAGTGTATTGATAAAATTATCCAGCTATACAAAACACTTTACTTGGAGACATTTCATACAATTTTTTTTTCACTGGCGAAATATATGTAATAAATTATTATATCTTTTGAATTCTACATATTTTTTTCCCCTCATAATTACTTAACATGGTGGATATAAAAAGTGGAGATAAAAAGTATACATACCAAAAGCTATCTTGGGTTGTGTCGTTGTACAAATTAGGCCAATAAGTCTTCAACTGTGACGCTAAACTCTGGCAAAATACATTAAAAAATACATGTAAACATATACATAACATAACAAGTTCTTTTATTGGTTGAGTTTTAGGTCACAACGAAACGGCATAGGTCATTTTAGCGACTTTCCAGCTGTTCTGGTGGAGGAAGACATCAGGTGCCCTTCAATGCAATTATTTCAGACACAAAAGGGCACCGGAGTAGAACCACTGATGTTAAGTAAGCTAACTGGATACTGCTTCTTCACATGAAAGAATCCAAAGTCCCTATCGGGACTCGAACCCACAGAGGTGACGGGCAAGTGGTTTAATGTCCGCAAAGTACAGACACAAGTCTGCTAAAATGTACCGCCATGCGCAAAAAATGAAAATGAAAACAAATGAAACATTTCTACACAAGTGTCAAAATTGGGTTCTGAGGCTATTTTTTTCATAATTTTTAAATATTTTTTTTTAAAGAATTATGTCATGATGTAATGAGACAACAATGTGCTCCATGATTTATTCATCTGCGCTTCTTTAAATGTTTATTGTATTTTGTTCCATTTGCATTATTTAATTAAAATTCTCAGAAATACATGTAGTCTGTACTAGATACACATGGCAACTGGTAATAAACAAACTCATAATAACACACTGGTAAATTTTTGTAGAGTTTTATTCCCATGAGCAGTTGTTTTTTTCTGCAGTCTCAAAAACTTAAATGACAACCTTTGTATATAAAATTATGTAAACCAAACTATTTTCTTTTTCTACTTTTTTTTTTAATTTACTTTCTTAAAACTCAATAAATCTTATCACAACTAACAATCTGCCACTAATTAATCTGTAACTAATAAAGTTACTAATAAAGATACAGATGCACTCATTTCTTCAATATCATAAAATGAATATACCTCACTATGCCTCGGAAATGATTTTTTCTCTTTCTAAGAAAGGGCAAACATGTGTTTAACAATGTTTGAGTAAATGAATATAAAGCATTTTAGATGCTTAATTACCATTACAAAATGAGAAGTATTGAATGTGGAATAATTTGTCATAAAGGTAGCAACATTTAAGGGAAGTTGCACTTTGACATACAAAAGACTAAATCGCTAAAAACTCTACTTATTGTGTAAATGTGCTATATGGCCAATGAGTACATTGAGAATATTATAATACTGGCAATAAAAATAACTAGTTTTTGAGAAATGAAAATAAAAGCGTTTTGGGTTTTTATCAACCTTTAAAGGAGCTCCATTGAGGTCAAATAGCCGAAAAAATATAAAATTTGAAAATCTGGAAAGGATAAATAAGAAATATACTAGAAATTAAATTGAATATTGATTTTATTGTGTGATTTTTAGCCCTATTTTTTGGGTCATTTTGCACAATAAAAACTAGAACTGCCACTATCATGGCGTGAAATTACCCCCGCATACCACTTTGTCAGAATCAACAGTGGCCATTTAGAGCTCAAGGACAACCTCCCTGCCAAATCTGAGGTTACTAAGCCAGTGCATTGCTAAGTTTTGTATTCTACATGCTTCAAATGTGAAAATGTCAAAATCAATACATTGATCCAGTGACCTCAAAATCAAAAGGGGTCATCTACTAATCATGATCAACATCCATGCCAAATATGAAGACTGTGGGTCAAAGGAATCTAAAGTTATTGGGCAGACAAACTTTTTGAAGTCAAAGTCCCTGTGACCTTGACCTTAGACCTGGTGACCTCAAAATCAATAGGGGTCATCTACTAATCATGACTAACCTCCATTCCAAATATGAAGACTGTGGGTCAAAGGAATCTTAAGTTATTGGGCGGACAAGCTTTTTGAAGTCAAGGCCCCTGTGACCTTGACCTTTGACCTGGTGACCTCAAAATCAATAGGGGTCATCTACTAATCATGACTTACCTCCATGCCAAATATGAAGACTGTGGGTCAAAGGAATCTTAAGTTATTGGGCGGACAAGCTTTTTGAAGTCAAGGCCCCTGTGACCTTGACCTTTGACCTAGTGACCTCAAAATCAATAGGGGTCATCTACTAATCATGACTAACCTTCATGCCAAATATGACGACTGTAGTCAAAGGAATCTTAAGTTATTTGGCGGACAAGCTTTTTGAAGTCAAGGCCCCTGTGACCTTGACCTTTGACCTAGTGACCTCAAAATCAATAGGGGTCATCTACTAATCATGACATACCTCCATGCCAAATATGAAGACTAAGGGTCAAAGGAATCTTAAGTTATTGGGCGGACAAGAAAAAACCGACGGACAGCTGGACGGATGGACGGACAAGCTGATTCCAGTACACCCCCCTTACAACTTTGTTGTGCAGGGGTAAAATGATTATTCTGGAGTACAATGTATAGGGTTTAATAAATGATCTAAACATTTGCCTACAAGTTATTTGTCCAGACTTAAAACAAGTGGTAGACAAAACGTGGGAAAATATTTCCAGTCCCATCCTGTTAAAAACAAGAGGGCCATGATGGCCCTGAAATCGCTCACCTGTATATAGGCCCCCGTGGCGGGGCTAATTTTAACCCAGGGGCTTTTATTTGAACAAACTTGGTAGATCCCCATTTGAAGATGTTTCATGATAAGTATCTAAGCTCTAGCTCTAAGAAAATCTTTAAGTTTTTACTAAACACATATAGTGAAAAACAATGACCCACACCCTCTGTGCGGGCCAATTTTGTCCCCAGGGCTTTTATTTGAACAAACTTGGTAAACACTCACTAGAAGATAATTCATGCTTAATATTTAAACTCTATCTCTTGGTCTTTTTAACAGAACATTTTTTCAGTTTTTACTATATACATAAAAGGAAAATCAATGATCCCGGGGCAGGGCCAATTTTTTAACCCCAGGGCCCTTAATTTAACAAAAATGGTAGACACCCATTAGAATTGTTTCATGCTAAATATCTTAGCTCTAGCTTTAAAGATTTTTTAAAAGAAGATTTTTTATGTTTTAACTATATACATAAAAGGAAAAACAATGACCCCCTGGGGCGGGGCCAATTTTGACCCCAGGGCTTTTATTTGAACAAACTTGTTAGACACCCACTAGAAGAGGTTTCATGCTTAATAGCTAAGCTCTACCTCTTTGGGTTTTTTAAAAGAAGATTTTTTTAAGTTTTTACTATATGCATATAGGGTAAATCAATGACCCCCTGGGGCATGGCCAAATTTGACCCCAGGGCTTTTATTTGAACAAACTTGGTAGACACCCATTAGAGGATGTTTCATGCTAAATATCTGAGCTCTAGCTCGTTGGGTTTTTTAAAAGAAGATTTTTTAAGTTTTTTTCTTTACACATATATTTAAAAACAATGACACCCCTGGGTCAGGGCCAGTTTTTACCCCAGGGCTTTTATTTGAACAATCTTTGTAGACACTTACTTTCATGCTTAATATCTAAACTCTAGCTATTCAGGTTTTTTTGAAGAAGATTTTTAAGTTTTTACTATACACATTTAAGGAAAATCATTGACCCCAGGGCTTTTATTTGAACAAACCTGGTAGACACCCATTAGAACATGTTTCATGCTAAATATCTTAGCTCTAGCTCTTTGGGTTCTTTAAAAGAAGATTTTTTAAGGTTTTACTATATGCATATAGGGTAAATCAATGACCCCCTGGGGTGGGGCCAATTTTGACCCCAGGGCTTTTATTTGAACAAACTTGGTAGACACCCATTAGAGGATGTTTCATGCTAAATATCTCAGCTCTAGCTCTTTTGGTTTTTTAAAAGAAGATTTTTTAAGGTTTTACTATATGCATATTGGGAAAATCAATGACCCCCTGGGGCGGGGCCAATTTTGACCCCAGGGCTTTTATTTGAACAAACTTGGTAGACACCCACTAGAAGAGGTTTCATGCCAAATATCTAAGCTCTACCTCTTTGGGTTTTTTAAAAGAAGATTTTTTAAGGTTTTACTATATGCCTATAGGGTAAATCAATGACCCCCTGGGGCGGGGCCAATTTTGACCCCAGGGCTTTTATTTGAACAAACTTGGTAGACATCCATTAGAGGATGTTTCATGCTAAATATCTTAGCTCTAGCTCATTGGGTTCTTTAAAAGAAGATTTTTTAAGGTTTTACTATATGCATATAGGGAAAATCAATGACCCCCTGGGGCGGGGCCAATTTTGACCCCAGGGCTTTTATTTGAACAAACTTGGTAGACACCCATTAGAGGATGTTTCATGCTAAATATCTTAGCTCTAGCTCTTTATTTGAACAAACTTGGTAGACACTGACTAGATGATGTTTTATGCCAAATATCTAAGCTCTAGCTCTTTGTGTTTTTTAAAAGAAGATATTTTAAGTTTTTTCTTTCGGTTGCCATGGCAACCAGAGTTCTGCATGGAATTAAATTCTTTGAACAATTTTTAAAGGTGACCACCAAAGGAACATTCCTGTGAAGTTTGGATGAAATTGGCCAAGTGGTTTATGAGGAGATGTCATTTAAAGTAAAAGTTTACGGACGACGGAAGGACGGACGGACGCCGGAGGAAAAGCGATCACAAAAGCTCACCCTGTCACTTTGTGACAGGTGAGCTAAAAACTCAGTGGAGTCCCTTTAACCATATTGAACAAAAGCATCAACATTGGAAAACTTTAAACTATTAAGTTTCTGATTCTCGGCTGGTGCAGAAAGGTCAACTGAGTACAATACGAATACCAACTAACATGTTGTCAGGCTACAGGATAACAATTTCATGTTCATCGTATTTGTCTTTATGATTTTCCCTCTTTTTTCCCTCTTTTTATTCTTTACTTAACCAGTTAACCTTAAGTATGCCAGTGGCCACTGAATCTACCTATATCATCGTTGCAGACCAAGATCAGCCGGAATATCAGTGACATCTGATCACGATGACTATTCAGTAATTACATATTTCAAAATTTTCACTCAAAGTGATTGAACAGTCTTATCAAGATTTAAATGTCCATTGAAGATATTTTTAGAAGGGTAAGTGTTAATCAACAACATCAACAGATACTTTTCCTTTTACAATATTATGACTGAAAACGGCACCACATTAAATGCCATATTCCGGTATATACCGTTCTAAGCGCTTGAATGATTAAATGCTAAAATCTTGACTTTTCACCCAACGAAATCAAATTTAAAACGTCTTATTCATCTCTTCACACCGATTTATATATCATAATGAATGAAAAATGTAACAATCAGCGGAAAAAAAGATATTTGTCTATTTCATGATCGTGATTTCTGCAAGCGTCTAGAGGGACTGCTCGGGGCAACACTGTAGTGAGTTAAATCCAAATATTATATAGATACAAGACAGATAAATAAATCAATATCTGCCGATCTCTCAAAAATGGAGACACACAAACAATCTAAATGGATATCATTTCAATATCACATGGTCTTATTATTGAAACCTTATATTATTCCAATTATAAAAGAGACAGTGCATGAGTGCAAAAAGGTCAACAATCCTTACAATAATGTGCGATCATAAAAATTAATATTACACATGTTTCACCTATCATGAACTTTCATATTAAGTCAAGGACACACATTACCTTGAAATATTAAAAATACTGCCACCTTAAAGCAGTAACGGGTTAACTCCTAATATAAATTAATAGGAGATAAGCCATTACTGCACTTAAGTGACAATATCTTTAGCAGATTCTAAAATACCTTCGGGTCAAAATCTTGTATAGGTAGGGGACATTGCCTTTACAAAAAACCAAAACAGGTCAATATCTCCTCTTCGAAAACAATTAGCTATGCCATACCTTTCTACTAAACAATGTAGAAGTTATTAAAGATTCATTCAATATCTACTGGTTATTGACACAATCGTCTTTGTTCTCGATTTGCAAAGTTAATAATTCAATACATCAACAATTACTGATACTGATACCTAAAGGCTTAAAAATGATTTTCCTAGAAGTCAAACAACATTCAGTTATTGTTAATTAAACATTATGGCCATTATTCCACTGTAATATTTCAAGATGATTTTCACGAAATGAAATATTTTCATTCCATAAATAATTTCATTTATTTCATGCTTTCCAGTGTTTTATTGTAATTTATCACACACCCGTGCCGATTTTGCGACTCCGTAAAAATGGTATTGCACGACCGTGCATATATTTTGACGTGACGTCATTAGCGTTATACAAACGTAGTGTAAAGACGCGCTGAATGTTAGCGATAAACTATAGACGCGTCAATGAAAATGACTCTTATTTCACTTTAAATGGTCTTTATTTTGGGTATGTGATAAATAGAATATTTAATTCGTGTAAGTTCATTACTGAATTTATTGCACTCGTTGAATAAAATAATATTATGCTCGCCAGAGGCTCGCATAATATAATTTTATTCAACTCGTGCAATAAATTCAGTATTGAACTTACACTCATTCAATATCCTCTATATATCATATTCTTATGATTATATTCTGATAAACCACTAGTGAAATTTATAAAATATAATTTTCACTGTAGCCGGACTATATCTGAATGCAAATGAAAAGAAAATCATTAAATGGAATAACAGGCAGAAATAAATGCCGTCATACGTAAATTTTGCTTCTTTAGGGAAAGAAAGTCGATGTCACCATACATCATGTAAAAAATGTAACAAAATTAGAGATATTAAACAGAACTATATTTCAAAATTAATGATGTGACGTCATGATGTGATGATGTCACAAAGGTGAATGCGCGACGTTACGCGGCAAAATCAGTAAAAATGCTTAAAATCACTTAAAAAGCATGAAATAAAAAGAAAATTTATTTGTTTTACATATAAGATTGAAATATATTTCATTCGTGAACACCAGCTATTATATTTTCACTTGTGGCTACGCCACTCGTGAAAATATTGCATCTGGTGTTCACTCAGTGAAATTATATTTCAATCTTACATGCAAAACAAACAAATATCCTCTATCAAATTATGATGATCAAATTTTTATTTTTGTTTGTCATGTTTAAAGGGACCGGAGAACTTCAAGTACATTTAAGTATTAAATGTTGAAAAAAAAGGTTGCAGATTTTACTATTTGTTTCCTGATAAATGTATTGTAAAGTGGACTGATCTATAATGGAAGGTCCATAATTAAAAGAGTTATTATGTTGAAAGTATTAAATATAAGACATAACAACAAACCACGAAAGAACTATATAAAGAAGTTGTTGGCAGGTGTCAGAAATCTACTGGTATTAATATTACATATATCATTATAGCATAAAATGTTCTAGAACAAAATATTAGTATCCGTCATATAAATGTTCAATCTAAGTCAATTAGAACTATATCAACAATTTTTTAAACAATTTTTATAAGAATATCCAAATGATACATTTCTATTGTTCTTTTATCTATATTTGAAAGTTTTATGGAAAATGTCCCCATTGTAGACCAATCCACTTTAATGTATGCTTACTGCTATCTCTTTACAAATTACCATGAATTTAAATTATAATGATATTGTAAAAAATTTTCAGTAAGAAACTGTTCACTCACAGCTATTTTACTGAAGTCAAAAGTCCATGAAGTGTTACAACTGGTTGGTCCCTTAGTCTCTCCAAGTGTCGGCCTGAAAATAAATTTAAACATTTAAGCATCACAACAAAACCAACGTAATGCGTTTGTGACCAGCAGCATGGATCCAGATCAGACTGCGCGGATGCACAGGCTGGTCTGGATCCATGCTGCTCGCAAACGCATTACGTTGTTACGTTGGTTTTGTAGTGACGCGGCTCATTTATTTTATAAGAAAAAAAAATCAAATTGTGTAACTTTACATGTTAATCAAATTAACAAAAAGCTTACCTTTTAAGCAATATTTTGTTTATATTCTGTTTCTGTATTTTTTTTAAGTATTTTTTTCCCAATCTTTTTATTTTTACCTTATTTGGAAATCATTAAAGTCATAAAGTTTACACTCTAATATAACCTAATAATAATAACCTTCCCCTGGAAGCATTAAATTCACAACAAAATAACATGAAAATTGCAAACTTGGTTTGATTGAGTCTGTACATGGGAGATAATGAAAAAGTGAAACATACTTAATTTTAAACACTTATAAGTGCTGAAATCAATGATCCCGAAGAACCAGAAAATATATAACAACACTTAAGTCATTTTAAAGACAGTAGTCTGGCAAACAACATATGAAACAGACAAAAAAGTTATAATTATCAAAGTCTATAATATGGCTCTCTGGATTTTATTAACATTAAAGCCGCATGCCTCCAGATATGCCAAAATACTTAAAGAAAATCAAACTTGGAAAAAAATTACACCACTTAGATTTTAAGAAAAGCAAGAATCAACAGATAATTTGCATGTTATGTGCATTAAATGACTGATTTTGCAGTATTTATCACAATGTTTCTACTGTGCTGATAACATTGTTACCAGGATTTTGGGAACATGTCCCATACCCATGGAATAGGGAATTTCAGTGGTGTTTTGTTAGAAATTGGGAACAAATGCATGACTGAAATTTTGCAGTATTAAATGAATTCAAACACGACAAGGAAAAAGTTAGGAAGTTCAATTTTTTGATAAAATTAACATTACTTACTGTTCCCAAATTATATTCACAATAAAAAGGGCCGAAAAGCTGCTATGAGATTTTTAATTAAAATGAGCAAAGGTGTTACATCCATATTCCAATTAATAATTAAAGTTGGATCACAACAGTAGCCACTAGAGTGTTAACAAGATTTTTCTATTTTTAGCTCTGGTGACCTACTTTTTCATCCGAGATGACCCATGTTCAATTTATTCCCAGCAATGACCTAGACAAGTTTCCTGACCAAGTTTGATGACAATTGAGTCAAAATTGTGACCACTAGAGTGTTAACAAGGTTTATCTATTTTTAGCTCCTGTGACCTAGTTTTTCATCCGAGATGACCAATGTTCGAACTCATCCGAGCTATCACCAAGACAAGCATCTTGATCAAGTTTGATGATGATTGATGCAAAAATGTGACCGCTAGAGTGTTAACAAGGTTTTTCTATTTTTAGCTCCGGTGACCTAGTTTTTCATCCGAGATGACCCATGTTCGAACTCATCCGAGCTATCACCTAGACAAGCCTCCTGACCAAGTTTGATGATGATTGAGGCAAAATTGTGACCTCTAGAGTGTTAACATGGTTTTTCTATTTTTAGCTCCTGTGACCTAGTTTTTCATCCGAGATGACCCATGTTCGAACTCATCCGAGCTTTCACCTAGACAAGCATCTTGACCAAGTTTGATGATGACTGATGCAAAAATGTGACCGCTAGAGTGTTAACAAGGTTTTTCTATTTTTAGCTCCGGTGACCTACTTTTTCATCCGAGATGACCCATGTTCGAACTCATCCGAGCTATCACCTAGACAAGCATCTTGACCAAGTTTGATGATGATAGATGCAAAAATGTGACCGCTAGAGTGTTAACAAGGTTTTTCTATTTTTAGCTCCGGTGACCTACTTTTTCATCCGAGATGACCCATGTTCGAACTCATTCGAGCTATCAACTAGAGAAGCATCCTGACCAAGTTTGATGATGATTGGGTCAAAAATGTGACCACTAGAGTGTTCACAAGGTTTTTCTATTTTTAGCTCCTGTGACCTAGTTTTTCATCAGAGATGACCCATGTTCGAACTGATCCAAGCAATTGACTAGACAAGCATTCTGACCAAGTTTGATGATGATTGGTTCAAAAATGTGACCGCTAGAGTGTTCACAAGGTTTTTCTATTTATAGCTCCTGTGACCTAGATTTTCATCGGAGATGACCCATGTTCGAACTCATCCAAGCAATTGACTAAACAAGCATCCTGACAAAGTTTGATGATGATTGGTTCAAAAATGTGACTGCTAGAGTGTTCACAAGCAATTGTGGACGTACGACGGACGACGGACATTCACCGATCCTAAAAGCTCACCCTGAGCAAGCTCAAGTGAGCTAAAAACTAAGCAGGTTAAAATTTATTAGTACGTATTTTCAAAAATTAATTGGTCAAGCGCCAGCACAGCCGTGCTACCAATTTATTTTTGTAAATACATACTAATAAACTTTAACCTATACTTGAATGATTTCAGTTGAAAACATGTTCTGTTCAGTGTCTTCTTTATAAAAGCCCATTGCATGATTTTTATCCAGACCATTTTTTTTGTCATGATTGCTGTGAAATATTTCCATTATGTAAAAAGACAGATAATGTTAGACATGGACACCTGCTTCTGTATATGTTTTGTGTAAATTTTCCTAATTTCTAGACATTTAATTAAAAAGATAAAATTATCGATTTTTTTTTTTTAATGTGTATCAATTATTGTTTGACAAAAAAATATCAACGATATATCCATATTGTTTCTATTGATGACTGCTCTAAATATTTGAAATACTGTAGACCAATCCACTTTAAGGTTAAATAGACTGTTAGTGGATCTTTAAGCTTATCTAGTATTTAGAATGGTAATAATACTCACCAAAGACCATGAATTGTCCAACTTTTCACCTGTGATCCTATATGGCATGTGTGATGCTGAAAAAAAAAAATCTTTACTATACTTCTAATTCATATATAATTGCCATTTAAGTTTTAGAATTTCATAGTCTGCATTTAAAAACATTTGCTTAATATGTAAATGTTTCCCTTCCAATATGATATTGCATTTCATGATTTCTATATCAAGTGGATTTTATAGGGGGCAAAACTTTCACGGTATAAGTGACATTATGCTCATTTTTTCACTATCAAGTTAAATGGAATAGACTATAAATTTAAAACAAGAGCCAGTTGAACCGGGTGATGCTCCAAGAATAGGTTTTTGATACAAAAAAGTATACCTCTAGTAGTATCAAAGTTATGCCCCAGACAAAGTTCAATGTGCAATAGTTCCATAATTAAAGCAAGACAAAGTTACTGTTCTTTGCACTGCTCATCTACCTAATGAGATCTATCTACCTACAAAGTTTCTTGTTCATATCTCTCATAGTGTCAGGGTTATGACCCGGACAAAGTTCAAAGTGTAAATATTAACAAAGGGCAATAACTCCAAAATTAGGCAAGTGTTACGGTTCTTGTGCACTGCACATCTACCTAATAAGATCTATCTACCTACAAAGTATCTTGTTCGTATCTCTTATAGCGTCAGAGTTATGTCCCGGACAAAGTTCAAAGTGTAAAAATGACTAAAGGGCAATAACTCTATAATTAGGCAAGGCAGAGTTACGGTTCTTTTGCACTGCACATCTACCTAATGAGATCTATCTACCTACAAAGTTTCATGTTGATATCTCTTATAATTTCAAAGCTGTGTCTCGAACAAAGTTCAAAGAGTAAAAATAAACAAAGGGCAATAACTCAAAAATTAGGTAAGGCAAAGTTACAGTTCTTGTGCACTGCGAATCTACCACATACAATTTATCTACCTACAAAGTTTCATGTTGATACCTGTTGTTTCAGAGTTATGTTACAGACAGGAAAAAAGCAGACGGACAGATGTACAAAGCAGCGACTATATGCTCACCCTTCGGGCAGCAGGGGAGCATAAAAATAAAATTACAAGTTCCAAATCACAAGCTTCAGTGATTTTTTTTCAGACAGAATAAGGGCAACATGTCTACCATTATTTTTTTCTTCAAAAAAATTTTAAAAATGGTAACAATGACATTGACAGTTAACAAACAATTTGTTTATTTGTTCTTTGATACTAGCTTCCATATTTTTGTTTAACTTTTCAAAACAAAGATTGAATGAAAATATAGTATAAAGACAATGGACAGATGTTTATCTACAAAACTATTGACCGACTAAACTTAGGGTCATATCAGTTCTGAATTCATCCCAACATTCCAAAGTCACATTTCCTTGACACGATTATACATAAACAGTCAAAAATCCAGTACAAGATATGAAATATGACCGGCTCTAATTCTGCTCTCTGATAGCACTCAACTTAATAGAAAGATGATCTTTATATTTCTTAAAATTTTATAAAAATTGGCACATATTTTGAAAGCTTGGAATTAAATAAAATGCATCAAGTAAATTTGGGCAGGTGGGGGGGGGGGGGGGGGTGTAGTGTTAGTTTTTCCTCCTTCACTAGTCACTGACCCAGTTTACAAGACACAATACCAATAACAGAAAATGATTATTTTTACCAAAATAGAGTCCATTCACTTTCTATAAACAAGAAGGCCATTATGGCCCTTATATCACTTACCTGATTATGTAGGCTCAATCCCAATTTCCATGATATTTGGACTGGAACAGAATCCCCTTGAGTGATAACAAGGTTTTTCCATATCTGGGTTTGTTACCTAGTTTTTGACCCCAATTGACCCACATATGCGAACTTTAGCTAGAAATCTTCCAAATAACCTTTCTGACCATTTTTAAGGATATTTGGACAGAAACAGAAGCCCATAGAGTGTTAACAAGGTTAACAGTGGTTTTCCATATTTGGGCTGTGTGACATAGTTTAAAAAACAAACCATACTCTAACTTGACATAGAAATCAATAAAACAACTTTTCTGACCAATTTCCAGGATATTTGGACTGAAACAGTAGCCAGCCCCAAGAGTGTTTACAAGGTTTTTCGATATTCCAACTGTGTTACATAGTTTTTGACCCAAGGTGACCCATATTAAAACTTGACCCAGAGGTCATGAAAACCATTTTCCAGACCAATTCCAAGGATATCTGGATAAAAATAGTAGCCTCCAGAGAGTTCACAAGGTTTTTTCAAAGATGGGCGGTGTGACCTAGTTTTTAACCCAAGGTGACCCATATTCAAACAGTTGAACTTGACCCAGAAGTTATCAAAACAATTTTCCTGACCAATTTACAGAATATCTGGATCAAAACAATAGCCTCTAGAGCAAGATATTAGGATCAAAACAGTAGCCTCGAGAGTATTCACAAGTTTTTTCCATATTTGGGCAGTGTGACCTAGTTTTAGACCCAAGGAGACCCATATTCTACCTTGAAAGTTTCAGACCAATTTCAAGGATATTTGGATCAAGACAGTAGCTACTAGAGTGTTCACAAGATTTTTCTATTTTTAGCTCCTGTGCCCAAGATAATATTTATTCCAACTCATGCAAGCAATTACCTAGACAAGCATCCTGACAAAGTTTGATGATGATTGAGGCAAAAATGTGACTGCTAGAATGTACACAATCAAATGTGGACTGAAGACGGATGACAGACGTTCAATGATCCTAAAAGCTCACCCTAAGCTAGCTCAGGAGAGCTAAAAACCTGATGTTTCAGATGCAGACACCACCAAAACTAATACTTGCCGGGAAAAACTTTCTTAACTTATGAGAAATATCCTGGACTTTATTTGGAATTTTTAACACTATCGCCATTGGTGAAAGTAACTTCATTTGGTCTCTAAAATTATCAAGAAAACCAATGGAATATAATAGTTACGGAGTTGATTTTATAAATCTCATAGAGTATAATGAGTACATACCTCTTTGCCAGCATCAGCACAGGTACCTGGGGGCCACGCCTGGGCAAACATGAAGTGATCCCATTTCTGGCTATTGCTGAAATAAACATAAAAATCAAAGAACCATCTACATACTTAAAGATATGCTATGCTAAAATTTGATATTAGAAAATATTAATAATTGGTACATAAAATAAACATGATTTGACTTCACACTAAGTACATTATGTTTAAAATTCTTTACATTATTTAAAAAAAAAAAAACTGTCATTTCTTTTTAAAGCCCAATTTGACTTGACTTTTATAGGGAACGCAGCTTCCCATACACTGTTTATTCTTTTTTTAGTTCAAATTTGACATATTCAGTAAGAACTTCATAGATTTCAATAGATTTAGAAATGTGATTAAAATATTTTACTCAAGGATGAGCAAAGTATTTCTTTAAAGCTACAATGACTTGTCTAAACCAACATGATAGAGCCAGCCCAGTCTGAATAAAATGTCTTTAAAATTCAAACCCCTGGACTATTGACTGCTGTTACTTGTAATTTGATGCTGTAATATCTTCAATCAACAGTGACACAGTTTAAAATTCAAAGCCGGGCAGAATTCGAATTACACATTATCAACAAAACATGTATCAACAACTTACATATATAATAAATACATGTTACAATATCAAGTAAAGTAGAAAAGAATCATTAAACTAATCTCTTTATAGTAATTGAGATTTACAACTGAAAGAAGACAATAAAAATATTGTAGACAGTTTCTCTTCTTACATACATTGTAAGAGCTAGCTAATTACATGTGGATAATAACTAGTGGGTGAGGGATGTTATATGGAACTCAGCAAAAGGTCAGAAAAATGTGCAGCCTAACCGGGACTCGAACTGGGACACTCAGAATACAGTACTGCTGCTCTACCGGCTGAGCTATCCGGCCGCTTACACATCTTCTCCCCTAGAAAGTGAACAGTTCTGAACCATGACATACTCTCCTGCTATATTGAAATTCATCCTAGAATTTCAGAGTTACACAGCAATGTGAATTAAACTCTGAGCTATATTCAGTCATGGTCCCCCGTTGGGCGCCAAATGTCACTGATGAGAAAAATGTGCATCCTGACCTGGACTTGAACCCGGGACCTTTGGAATACCGTTCTGCAGCTCTACCGACTGAGCTATCCGGCCGCTTACACATCTTCTCAACTAATTAGTGAACAAACATTCCCATCTTATCCCGGGGTAAAAACAAACTTTTATCCATTATGGCTCCACAAGAATGACTAATGCATTTACACTTATAGATTTTATTTAAAAAGTTTTAACTGTGAAAGTTTGTCTGCACATGTACCTGGGGTTAAGGTGGGAGAAACCCACATTTGCCAAAGTTCCGGAGTAGTAACTGTCAAAGTTTATCTGTACATGAATCATCAGTTTAGATGGGGAAAAAAAACACATTAACCAAAGTTCCAGAGTACCTTGATAAACTCAGACTTAGATTTTCAATCATTTTTTCTTCATAGCTATGGATCAAAGGGGGGAGATTGACCCAATGCTACATTTTCAAAATGGGAGTATCTTGTAACAAATCAGAAGAGTTTATACCTTCTGCAACTACTAAAATTTAGTTCAAAGTGTGTATAACAAACTGTAAAATTGACAAACTGTAAGGATGACAAATAATCTAAAAATAAAATTTAGTTTGATGAGATGACAGACCTGTTGACAATACTTTCAGCTTCCCATGGGAATGTGTAACCTATTGCGACATCACAGTCATGAATAAAATGGCGCTTCAGTCTTCTTCCACCAGTTTGAAAGTTGGAAGTGGCTAGCCGTACGGGCCCGTACGGCTAGCCAAAAGTTCTAGCCGTACGTGAGTCACGTACGACTAGCCAGGACGCACTGTATTGTCTAGCCGTACGGCACTTTTCAAAATTATATGGAAGTCGAAAATGCATATGTTATTTTGTGTCTTTAAACGAGGATTTTAATCAAGTCTCCGCATTTGTCCTAGTGTGTTGACTTTAATAAAGATGCTCCGCCATTTTGTGAAAAAAAAAAGAATACTAACAAGCGTTGTATAATCTATCTTGATATGTGTCAAAATTGCATGTTATAAGTTATAACGTCCTTGATTTTCATGCTTATGATTTGTTGTTTTATTTGTATAAAAATTTGTATTTTAGATGAATTATTAAATCTTTTTTGTTAATTAAGAACAAATGGATCGAATAAATAATGATCGGAGTGGAATAAATAAATAAATAAAAAGAATATTGAAAAAAAACGGGGAAAAGCAAAAAAAAAAATAAATAATTTTCAAATACAGTTGATAAATATCGAACATAAAAGCACAATCAATTAATTAGCCTTAATCAAAGCCTACCCAAGGACTGACAATAGAATTTTAGAATGCGTTTCACAGAACATGCAAACTTTCCTTAATGATGGACAAACTTCTTTACCGTCGGTAATTGACACAATTATCACAGCCCAACAACAATTATTTTCGGTGGGTTTTTTTTTTTTTTTTTTTTTTTTTTTTTTTCAATCTAAAAATTAAAGTTAATGAAACAAAAGAGGATTATTATTAAAATTGTGTAAACTATTTCAATTGATGTTCTTTAACTGCGATTAATCTCTAAAAAGTAAACATACGAAGGCAATTGCTGTTTCTTGGTTGAAATCCTCGCTTAAAGTCATAGAATAACATATGCATTTTCAACTTCCATAAAATATAGAAAAGTGCCGTACAGCTAGCCAATACAGTGGGTCCTCTCTAGCCGTACGGGCCCGTACGGCTAGCCACTTCCTTGAAAGTTGCCGTAAGATGTTACTAACAATGATGGTTGGATTAAGAACAATTAAAACTAATAATCTAACATGCTTACCAGACACTGATGTGAACAAGCAGAAACAATTCAAACAATATCAACACACTTCTAATTGAGTTGGGAGTCTGTCCGAACATCATAATTATTGAATCAAAAGGTAACTGAAAAATTAAAAATTAAATTACTTTTATGTAGATAAATATGAAACTATAAACCATGATTAAAACATGCTTTTTAACCTTTTCCCTTAAATAACGTGTTTCGACGGCTTTTTGTCCCCCCCCCCTTTTTGAGGCCTCAGACAGTGAAAAAATGCCCTACTTAGGCCCCAAACACTGTTTATTGTTTGAGAAATGTTGTTCAAAAAAGTGACCACTTTTTCGGCGCCGTCCCCCATCCAAATATTACAACAGGGGGTTGCCAGAAGGGGGATGTGCCCCCTTCTGTTTGAGGGGGGGTTGAAGGGGGGCGGAGTCCCCCTCATCTCCAAGAAAATTTTGGACATGTGACAGGCTAAAAATGGCCTCAGGTCGAACCTAGGGTAGCTAGTAACCGACGCTGAAAAGCCTTTTACTCTATCTCAATTCATTGAGAAGTTGCAGCACTTTGAAATCAGTTTTGATGGGAAAAAACAATGCAAAATAGTGATTTTTGGCAATTTTGAGACGTCCCCCTGTTGCCATGGTAACAGGAAATTTACCATTGAGCATGCTGTTACAGAGGCTATGGTGTGGTCAACATTTGTGCCAAGTTTCATTAGTATTGAAGCATTTTTCATACTTTCATAGCAGTTTGAACTTGTTACAGGAGGCTTTTCAGTGAAAATGGCCATTTTTCGCAATATGCTCATGGGGGAAAAGGTTAACACAGTTACAAGTCAGATAAAGTTTCAAAATGAACATTTATTTAAGTACACAGACACAGTTTATTGTAATCTCATAAATTAATATCTCTGCATCTTGTAACTGATTGCAGTTGTTGTTTAAATTAATTATTAAGCAGTATTTGACAGTTTACAGGTTTAGGGTACTGTAAATATAATACATAAAATATGCGTGTCTACTTTTAATAATTGCTTAACAATTTTAATACTATTGTGATCGAATTAACTTTAAATATTACCAAACGAACTTCCTTTGTCATCTACGATTTAAATGGCGTTTTTGATATAAAGGGCAGTAACTCATGTATAGACCTAATAGGTATCATGTATCATGGCCTAGCTCTAATATTATTTCTGTAGATCTAAAAGTATTTTAATACATAGAGGATATTGAATAAGTGTAGGTATAATAGATCTACTAAATTTATTGAACGAGTTGAATAAAATATGGCTACTGTATGCAAGCCTCTGACGAAAAGCTAAGAGGAGCACAGCACTCTAGATCTATTGTTTATTCAACGAGTTGAATAAACAGTTTTGAATCTACATGTAGACGAATATAACATTATATTTATCACAAATTCAAGAAAGTATATGAGTTTATTCAACTCGTTATTAAACTAGATCTAACACTCATTCAATATCCTCTATTTATTACACTCCTGCGTCGTAGTACACTAAGTCTTGTATGTGATAAAAATATTTGCAAGCCCAGCTTTTCAAATGTAAAATGTATAAGTGCACCGACCACATACATGTAGCACTACTATAGCTACACTGTATGAATGTACTATATTCAAGCTAAGGTCAGGGATATATACATGTATACAGCCACGGACTTTAATTTACATATATCAATTTAAGTCCGTGATACAACTCTTCCTACACTTGTACCTCTAGCCTAATTTCTATGGCGAGATCGAAAAAAAAACAACATTTAGTACTTCACAACACACGAGCATGCTTATAATTAAGTACATGTATTTGATTTCAAAATGCAAGTTGCCCCCGTTTTCACTATTCAAATCTTTACAGTTTTTACATCTTACGTTTTTTTCCAATAACTTCCTCGTCTGACCACCTGCCTATTAATGACATTTATTTCTTTCCCATTTAATTCCCCAACATTGTTAATATTTAATTATTTATCACACATTCTCGTGTTTTTTTTTGCTTTTTGTTTTCAATAAAAAGGAAAGAAAGAAAGAAAGAAAGAAAGAGAAAGAAAGAAAGAAAGAAAAAGAAAGAAAGAAAGAAAAGAAAGAAAGAAAGAAAGAAAAAAGAAAAACAAAATTTATGTATTATAATACTGAACTCCCTTATACTTATAATGAACTGTTCCAAGTCAAAAGCATGACGAATCCATTACACAAATTAAAAAGATTAAAGTGCCGAAATATATTACATTATTACGGTTTTACCACAAATTTTAAGAATTAAAAAAAGACGCAAGTCGCTAAAAAAACAACACCACCCCCCCCCCCCCACCAATAAACTAGCGAAGAACTGATTGAAAAAATATCAATCGATAATCGATATCTATAAAAGTTATAGACTTTAAAATATAATGAATGAATGAAATATAAAAGACAGAAGAAAAATGAAATAAGTGTATGACATGAACTTACCAATGTAAAACAACTAACCAAGCAATGAATTTAAATCCTTACCCAGGCCTTCTTTAAACGAAAATTATTTAAAAGATTGCTCAAATCAAGTTAGCTCAATAAGTATTAACACTCCTCAAACAGGAAGAAGGATGTTTAAGAGATCATGCATTATTTCATTGTTTGATAAATCAAGATATTTCTTCCGGTTTCACAAAGTTTTATCTATATAGTTTAAATTAAATAAAAAAGTTTTATAAACCTATATTATGTGAACTCGTATGTATTTAAAACAGCACACAGTCGCCCGAGAAACGTTCGTCCAAGACTGAACAGGGGCAGACAACTCGTCCAGAAAGACACAACAATAAATGAATCAAAGTTCATGTTCAGACTGTAAACTAGAATTTCAAGTTTATTCTGGTATAATTATGCCATGTTCAACCTAAAACTCTTATCTTTCCTTTTATAGAAATTAACTGCAACAATAACAGCCGTGGCATGAATCTGGGGCACTGTACGTCTCAGCCACGACCTTTGCAAAATGGTGAACATAAGCTATAGAGCAGATCGTGATAAATTAAGCTAAATTTGAGATTTAAATTCATGTTTGTTAAAGAGGCACGGCCTACGGATCAGTACGTAGAATAAATCTTCAAATAAATCAAACTTAGGGAAAATATACTAATACATGTAAAGAAAAAATGTAAAGATATTTATAATTCAAGTGCATCTTTGAATCTATTATGCAAATTTGGTCAGACGTATTTATATAATTATGTATACCCACATTTCTGTCCTGATTCTTATAGAGCAATAAAAATGTCTGCATTTTCTGACAAGTTGAAGGTACATTATTTACGGAAAGTCTGTGCCTTAAGAGATATTAAAGTACAAAATAAGTACATTGACTACACATTAAAACATTTTCTTGGTGCACGACATTTCGTCAAAACGCAGTTTGTTGAATATGACAATTGGCCGAAAACGTCAGTTCGCCGATACCATGAAGCAAATTCAACCAATTGTCACATTCTAAAAGTTGTCAAATATTATCACATGTCGAATTTGACAAAATGTCGTATACGACGAAATGTCTTCCGACGAAATGTCACTGAAGCATAATTTTTCAGTTTTCATAAAAAGTACACAAATATTGGGACGAACTGCTTTAAAGTACAGACACGAATTGTCCTGTATTTGTTATCTTTTTGTTTCAAGAGTTTTTATTTCAGAACTGAAAATCCGTCTACTATTGCATCAGCGAAAATTCAAGTACACTTGTTCTCATTTTAATAAGCATACTGATAGTCACCTTTATTTCCAGTAATAACTGTAAATCTTTTATAGATAAAAGTTCACCGATTTTATTTCATTTTAACTGCATATCTTCAGATTCATATTATCTTTTCAAAGATGTAAAAAGGAGATGTCTATAAATAGTAATTTATGGCTGAAGATACACCGTAAACGTATTTGCCCTATGTGTTGTGGAATTGGTGATGAATTCCATTACATCTTCATTTAAACATATTTGGAAATGATGAAGATATTAAGATAACTTTTACAACAACTCGAAGAATAACTTTTTTTCTGGATTTCTTTATTTAAATGTTTTATTTTTTACAAATGAATAATCAAAAACGTAGACCCAATACTGACTTTTCAGAGCTTGTCCATTTACACAAAGTATTCGAGACTTAAAAAATAGAAATAGATGACTTCATAAACAAACCTAACAATAATTGCAAACCTCTGAAAAACTGCATTAGAAATGTCCAGGAATTATTAAATCATTAAATCAGATTGTTAAAGGGAGGTAATAAGAAAAAAAAGGATATACATCTTGTTAATCAATTATTGCCAGCCAGACGTTTGATTGATCACATGGTTCTATGGTAAACATTGAGTGACAGTTTGATTGAATAAGTAAATTTAGTGTTTCAACAATTGTAAGATAAAATGGCAGTCATAATTTATCTTAAGTCATATAATGTACAATTAATTGTCACACCAAGTCTAGGTCGCAAAATCTTTAATAACAGAAGTTCGTTTTCTTATCAAGGTATTACCTGTTTGGTCTGGTTTAGACTTAGCTTAATTGGAATAATAGTGCAATGTACTATTGTAATATGAAACGTAACACATTTGAATGAAATTGGCGATTATTATGTTTTTGTTGACACTAGGAAAATTTAATATGGACACCTGATATTGTCTGAGGTATCAACATTACCCTGCACTACATCTCATTTGTCATCTCGTAGTAACCTAGTTTTCTTGAAAATTTCCACGCGGCTCAACTTTCTATATTTTTATCAGGCGAAGACTGAGACGCATTTCAAAACGAGGCAATTTTCCACCAACCTATTTACTGTTCATATCCGGCGAATCACAGGCGTAGGAAAATTGAAATGATTTCAAATTTAAAGACCGTTATTGTATATTAATTATGAAGGTTATAAATGTGAGTAACGTGTGCTGCAATAGAATATATATGTATGTAAAAAAATTCAATGTAATTGCAGTGTCTACAATAAGTAAATGTTATTTTCTGTGAAGAGAGAATACGAGATTATATGACATCTTATAAAACACGGACGCTGGGTCAGGGCTGTTTGCTAATGTTGTTATAACTTGTGGCCCGACCCATTTGCACTATATATCTCTTTGTGAATATTTGTTTTCGCATAATTCTTGTAACCTTATATGCATTTGTGTTGCAATAAAATATTATTTAACTAAACTTGGCGTTTTTCAATTTGAATGCTATCGGAATACCTTGACTTTTATACACATGTCGAAACGTTGCGATTTAATTTGACTCGCAAAACTATTATATGACAAAGGAATTCACTATGCAGGTGCAAATGCCACTTATCTTATGTTATACTTTTGACAAAAAAATCCAGAGATCAAATCAAATGAACTAAATTATCAGCATAATCAATGACAAATGAAATGTGCAACATGTTAGACGCAATTATATTTTTACACTGTTTCTGCGTGCCATACTATGCTGTTACCTGTCTTTGTTGTACATGTATTTCATTGCATGTCTTCTGCGTTTTCTGTGTCTTTATTTTGTGTTTATGTTTTTGTATCTTCCTGTATTTATTTGACACCTCGATTTGGTTTGCAATTTCTTTATCTCTGTTTTCTGTCATTATTTGTATATCCCTTTTAGTGCGTGTACAGTGCAGTATTTGAGTATCTGAATCAGGACTTCGTGTACCCAGAAGAGCTACTTTAAGTTCTACAAGAAATACACATACAAGTTGAAACAATATCAACAATGGGGAACACGTGACAATGAAAGATTCGACTGTAGACTTGTTGTACATTTGTATTTAATTAACTTCCGGTATATTCACGAGATATTTGTCATCCATTTCCTGTATAAGCCGGACAAATATATGTGCAGGCTTTTCGCCTTCATTCTCATGGTATTTGCACATACACTAGGTTTTTTGGTATGTATGATAAGACTGACAAATATACATTTTATTTGGATTTTAAGGATTTTGAAACTCCACACCCCAAATGTCTGTAGGTATTTGGTGTGTATTCACAGATGTTTGGCCATCTTTGAGTCTGATAACACGCCAGGCACCAAAGATTGAATCCGCTCGTCCAATCAGATAGGGTGTTACATCGCATGTATCAGACTCCAAGATGGCTGCGAAAGTCAAAAATACCATGAGAAAAAAAGAAAAAAACAGAGAAAAAAAAGGATAGAATTTTGATATTCGTTCGACTTGAATAAGGTAAACTGTAGAATTCTTGTTCTTTTTATTGCTGTTAATGAATGATGCAGCGATATGCCTCCGGAATGAGCCTGAGTCGCCGAAACGATGATATCCCGTGTTCCACATTGTTGGCAAATGAACATATATTAGACTTTCCACCTTTCTATAACCGTAGTTTTGATAGTGGAAATTCTTTTGTAACGGAGGTTTTGTATTTGTTATCTTATTGTAAGCCTTAGGGTGGTTGATATTTTTCAGGGTTGCAGCAGGTGTCCAAACACTGATACTGCCATCAAATGATTTTTTTATTTTTGTTTTGCTGTACATACATGCAAATAGACAAACAGAGATATCGCTAGAATTAAATAAATGCTTAAATGGAAGTTCGCGTACAACATGTATCATAAATAATATCATATATTATTATCCATATATAATATATATATATATATATATATATATATATATATATATATATATATATATATATATATATATATATATATATATATATATATATATATATATATATATATTATATATATATATATATATATATATATATATATAATGATTCCAGAGTATGTATGATACATACGTTTCTGATGATACTTTAGTGAATTTGCTAGTAAAGAGAAAAAAAATCCAACAAAGTTCATATGGCGAGAAAGACCTAAGCTGCCTCCCCGTACATTATTTCAAGAACGAACGAGCGACGTTCCGTAAGCTAGCTGAATAGCTTCCTCACATGAAAGACTCCAGAATCCCAAATATTTTATATTAGCCGATAGAATAATATTATTATACATTGTATATGATAATTTTTTCCGAGTTTTTTTTTCTCAACATTTCCCCATTGTAACCAATAACTTTGTCTAGAATCGCAGCATAACGGGAAATAGTGAGAAATGTAACTCGAGGCTGCGATTCTTTGTCGAGATTTTCCAAGAATTACGATATATAATTAATATTTTCGTATGTAGTAAAATAAGTACAAATCGGTCAGTTCCCGGTGCTTATAGGTATTTCCGAGTTATGTATAAATACTTACGATTCGAACAACAGTACATCACAATATTTGAGCTTTTGGCACGTGAAAGAGCATTCAGTTGCCGCAAATAAATATATAAATTATTGATAGATATTTCACGTGTTGTTTTTTTAAAGAAGTTTCCAAAAAGATTATGCAGTTCAAACAGTTTTTTACGGTTTCAAAGTAAGTACATTTTTTAAAAGTTGAAGAATGAAAAATAAATATATAAATGAATATTATTTAAATAAATAAAATAATGAATTAATAAATTAATTAATTAATAAAAACTTTTAACATAATTATATGGATGTATGTTTATTATTTTTTCTTTGTAAAGATTCTTAAGAACTTAGGACTTTGCAGTGTGAATTTATTATATATTAATGTTTT